TTTTTTGAGACAAGGTCTCACTATGCAGGTCAGGCTGACCTTGAATTCATGGTGATCCTCCTGCCTCATCCTCCCGAGTGCTGGGGTTATAGGTGTGTGCCACCACACCTGGCTAACACTCCAAGCTCTTCAAAGCATGCTATCTGTGGCTGTCCCACCCTCAGTGCACCCAATCCTGTCTGAACCTCATGCTGCACATGGACCTCTGTTATCTTTTTCCCCCTTGCACGATGCTGGGGATTGAACTCAGGGCCTGGCACATGGTATACAGGCACTGCCTCACTGAGGAAAGAACGCCATAAAATTTTTTTCTGGTACTGGGGATAGAAACCAGGGAATTGAAGCTATATCCACACTCCTATTTATTTTTGTTTTCAGACAGGGTCTCCCTAAGCCTGTGGAGTTGCCCAGGCTGGACTTGGACTCATGCTCCTCCTGCCTCAGCCTCTCAGAGTGCTGGGTTGACAGGCTTGCACCTCCATGCTGGCTACACGGTTTTGTTTTTTGCTTTGTTTTTGTGGTACTGGGGATGGAACTCAAGACCTTGTGCTTGCGAGGCGGGTGGTGGAACCACTGAGCTAAATCTCCGGCCCTCACAGTGATCTTGCCATTGAGTCGTCGAAAGTGATGCAGCTTTCTGCCCCTTCTTTTTCCTGGGTCACTGGTCCTCGCTGGGAGGTGAGGCCCTGAGGCTGCAGACCCCCAACCCTGGTGACACTCGTCACCCACAGCCAACAGCGTCCTGGAAGCAGGTTCTCTGGGTTGTCCCAGAGAGGGGAGAAGCCTCACTACTGGGCACCATCTGGAGTGCCGACTGAAAGTGAAAGAAATGACCTTTGTCACTTTCAGCCAGGCGAGTGGGATGGTTTGTCAGCATCACTGCACCCTTAGCCAGAATGTGGCGTGTGGTGCTCCGGTCCTGTGACTCAACTCTCTTCTCTCTGCCCACCCTCCTTCCCTGCCCCCTTTCTTTCTTCAGAATTTTTTTTTGCAGTGCTCAGAGTTGAACCCAGGGCCTCACACATGATATGCAAATGCTCTACCACTAAAGTATACCCCTAGCCCTAAAAAAGGTTCTTTTTTATTTTGTCTCATATTTTGAGACAGGGTCTCACTATGTAGTTCAGGCCGGCCTTGAACTCACTATGTAGCCCAGGCTGGCCTTGAATTCATGGTGATCCTTCTGCCTCGGCCTCCCGAATGTTGGGATTGCACATGTACATATATCATAAAACTGGTTTCATTCAGATATATTCCATAATATACCATGAGACTCACCCATTTAAGGTCCATAACTGACCAAGTATAGTGGTGAATTGCTGAAATCTTTGTTACTCTGGTAGGCTGAGACAGGAGGATTGCAAGTTCCAGCTAAGCCTGGGCAA